ATAAAACATATCATATTATATGATCTATCATTCTATACAATATATCATATAACGTATAAAATATATTATGCTATATATATAACATTATATGTGTATTCTATTATACACATGACACTATAACGCTATACAATATAGTACATCATATATGTACACATGGACGATTAGGTGAATGAAACCTGGCAACAGTCAACTTGTCCCTCTCAGCATCTCAGCTGACGTCCTGACGGAGGCTTATCTTCTCCAAGACTCCAGCGAGGCGCTGAATGAGGTCCTTGAATGGAGTCTATATCGATTACCCGAACACGGCATATTCATCAAAGAGCTGCAAGACATTTTTTCTTGTACGTGATACATTCTGTTTTTGTATGCGACAATCGCAAACTATCGTGAAGCATGGCCAGAGCCACTATGATCATAGAAGTCTCCTCGAGGTCTTCTTTCAGGTACATACCCCACAATTTGACTGCATGTGTGTGAATCTTTGTCATCTAATTAACTTTCCCTCTGCAATGTAGGAGGCTGTGAATATCCAGCTTCGAGTGCCGTTGTCTGAAGCCAAGTTTCCAATTCTTTGCATGCCTCTCAGAGTCTCTCAGATGAAAAGTTTCCAAGGCTTACAACGAGTTTCCTCAAACCCTTGCGGCCGACTTTCCGCTTTTCACAGGCGAGATGCATATAGCAGATGTTTTGTCTCCAGTACCAAGCCCAATCTTATTATTCCAAAGCTCAGGAGTGGGACGCACCTGACTTGCAGGCCAGGGTGCAGATTCATTTCTTTTGCTCCAGCAAAATAAATTTCTCGATGCAGAATCAGAGAGACTGAGGACCACAATATGAACCCCGCAGAATATCTAGATGCCATTCACATTGCATCATCATCCATCGTCTACTGTTCAATTTTCTTGCAGGCTGCAGCTAACGTGGAGTCAACGGCAGTCGGATCCCTAGTGGTCACTGTGTTCATCGCTGCGAGATAGATCTAGATCCAAACGCTAAAGATCGTTGAAGCATCTTAAAGCAGATGTGAATAGAACTTTGTGCAGCTGCTGGCAGGATTGGATGCGGTGCACTCCTCAGGCATGTACTGTCAGGTCAAGGGTGCTCGCATACAGTACTTGCAAGATCCTGCAAGTCGTAGAGTAGATTGTAGATATCCGGCAAATAGAAGCCGGTGAAGCAGATTCAAGTGAAATTCAAGTCTTCAGGCCAGAACATGCTGCAGCCCTAACCCTTGGTGGTTCCCTGCTTCGACCTTAATCTTTTGAATACCCGAATGGAAGTCGATTCAACGTGACAGGCATTGGTCCAATTGGATCCACTTGCTTTGTAGGGTTGGGCTGGGATTTACTTTCGTGAATTTAGTGCAGGGAGAAGCCGTACAAAATCGACTTCCTGCCGTAGGATCCTTGCTGTTGACCCAACCTTTCCATTTGTATCCTTTGTCATTTTGCTCGACGCATTTTCAGTCCATGGGCAAGTGTCAATTGCTGTTGTGTGGGTTCTTCTTGTAATGAACATTGTACTCGTAATGCATATTTGGAGCCCCTGTGGCAATCCTGGAAGCAAACAGTTCTTCTCCATATCCAACCGGGCTCTTTCATCTAAGCCTTTGGTGCTCCTGCACCAACCTGTCAAACTGTGGAATGTTTGTGAGGCAGCTTTTTCATCTGACAAAAGACATCATTGGACTTGCGGCTGAATTGCAGAGAGCTCAAAGTTCTGAAATTCTGAAGTTGTCCATGCGTGTCAAGTTGCGCAACCGTCGTGTATCAAGGCCTGCTCATGGCTGCCACGAACCTCAGGCCTTATTGCCCTCTCAGCTAAATGGTGGTGCTGGATGTGCCAATATGTGCTGGTCTTGCGCTGTAAGACACATTTGAGCCACCGCAAAAACTCCGGCAATACGAAGCATGTATGGGATTGACATTGGTTTTCATTGTGACAAACATGAGGTAAGCGATGGGACCTTCCCAAATTTGTTGTCCTTTGTGAAGAAGTTTCCCCTGGAGTTTCCACGATTCCTCACTTGGCCTGGAACATTTGAAACAGCCCGGCCAAGCCAAGCCCAATCATATCTCGCTATGCAGGCTGTCCTTGTGCGCATTGCCGCTTTTGCTGTGGAGCCCTTAGCATTTGATTAAAAAAGCATGTTTCATCATGTTTCCTGTATTTGAATGTATTTGAATGTATTTCATTCTCCAAACATCTCCAAACACTGTTTTACTCTGCAACCCCGCCTGTTTTGCCTGTTTTGCATTGTATGTGTACGGTTCTGTTTGGAGGGTGTAGGATTATGTAGGACAATCTTTCAGGACGGCAAGATGACAGTGCAGACCAGAAGCCAGGAGTCTCATGGAGTCTAATGTAGTCTCATGTAGTCTTTGAATTCTGTATTTGTTTTGCATTGGGGATGCAGATGGATGCAGTAGATAGGGTAGGGGTGAGTCTTGGAAAGAACGTTGAACGGAGGGAGCGAAGCACTGATTGGGTACTTGGCAGATTTGTTCTAGGTTTGAAGTGTTGGTGTAGAGTCTAGAGAGTGTAGAGTGGTGGGAAAGTTCTGTGGCAACATTTGAGAGCTGACAAGTGGCCCGTCCAAGCGTCACAGTCTGGAACAAGTTAAGGATGTGAAGGAGTTTGTGAGAAGTATTCTGCAAGGTGCATTCAAGGCTCTCGTGTTCTGCATATTTCTACATATTTCTGCATAGCAATCAAAACAACTAGAGCAGTTCTTCTCTTTCCAGGAGGTGCGCTTGGCTCACGCAGTTGCTGCAGCAATGGCGTAGCCATCCTGGTTTCATATCGTTGCTTTCAACCCGGCACACTTTTGTCTTAGCAGGCCGTTGCTTCATTTTTTGTATGGCAATTGGATGCAACTGAGACGATTTCATGGAAAATCTTGGGAGGAAAGGCGGGAACAATTGCATGGAATGAGAATGCTGAGGTCAGTACTTTTGTGTCCGCCAGCAGAAATTTGATGGCGGATCTTGTCTCAGAGTGTCTCCAAAGAGGGACCTTGTCATGTTTTATGACGTGTACAAAAGCTTCAGCTACAGTATTTCTGTGGGCGACTTGCACTTGCGAGTGACTACATCAAGCTTGGACACTGTTGACTCTGCTCAAGTCAGTGGGCTGAGTCCACTACGCAAGACAGTCACAGTGGGCAGTGAAATGGAAGCTGCTCAGAATTGGTGCACGTATGTGAACGCAGCATACCGTACATTCTGCCTGCAATGATGCTGAGCTTTTTGATCGTTTGTCAGACACAATCCTGCGCAGGTGGTGTTCAAGTGCCATTGGGCGCAAACATGAAGATGGTCTGGCACTAAAGTTCACGAAAGTGCCTTTAAGCTGCTTATTGACAGGCCATATTTTCAGCCTTCAGCTTCCTGCCCCTTCTTGGACTGGCGGCAGATTCTGACCTCTAAGTTGATTATGGCTTTGCCAACGCTCCTCTTCTTACACATGTTCATGGGCCCGCTCCTTACTGTCTTGCATAGCGCGATAATTGTAATTTGTGTTCTGTTTGCAGGATATGGAAGGAATGTCCTGGAAGTCTATGTAGCTCGGATAGGTGTCTAACTACCCGGGCCAGTCTGAAGACAAACATAGTCAAAGACTGCAAACATAGAACAAAGCTAGCTGAAATATGCTGAAATTCTTTGAAAGGTCCTGTGCTTTGGTCTGCTGCCTTGTGCAGCGGTGGTGTGAGCTTGGCTCATGCTGCTTTGCGGGACCGTGGGGACCTTGTCAGCCTGAGACCACCGTACTCGTACCAATCCGTCAACGTTTTGACATCCCGTTACCAGGTGAAGATGTTGAGAAACTAGAGGATGATGACCGAGATGGAGACTCAAACTGGTCCGGGCCGTGAGCTCCTTTCCATTCCTTTCCTCTACTCAAAAAGCATGGCATGTCTGGAAATTCATGACGCCGACTATGCCTCAGCAGGATCCTTTTGGAATCTCCTCATACGCTGGCCGCCCAAAGAACTGGCTCCTATGTGCCGAGGCCGAAAGGACGTGTCAGAGAGCTTCCGTGAGCTTCGACTCCGGGAACATCCAGGCGCACCGATAACATGTAACAACAAGCCAATCTTTCCAGTCAACATATGCCAACAATGCCAAAACTGCCATGCTTTTGGCTCGCGAGGTGTGGCTGACCTGGCAGAACTCTCTGTGTTTTCTTCAGAAAATGACTGATGAACCTCACAGTTCTGATTGCTGACCTAGTGGCCAAAGTGAGTTGTGACATACGTGCGAGATCGTGCGAGCATTAGATGAATTATCGTGCCAAGATTTTCCCAGGCATATACAGGAGCCTGAAATCTAGAAGAGGCATCTGCTCTCTTTCCAGAAAGGGCCGCTATGATTGCCCTCTTGGATTTGTGAGTGTGTGGAAACCGCAAGGATAAGTTCTAAAACAGACAATGCAATCCTGGTTTCTATTCATTGCTCAAGTAACTGTGAGATACTGTGAGTACTCACCTGCTTGGAATAAAGATTTTAGGCTCTCTTACTTCTGATATACTTGAATGGTTCTACTATCTACATCAGATTTCATAGCATGCTGGATGCATGTACAATATTGTACAATTATGGTTCATTTTTAGCTTAATGTGAAGAGTGTGCTTTCGTTTTGCATAATAGGCTGCCCTAGCCAGGCCGGAAATGTCTTTGGACAGATTGCCAGATAGTGCAGTAAGAAACGTTGATTCTGAGATCCGAAAAGCGGAGCGCCCCTTTTGCGAGAGACTTTCGGAGGTGCTCAAACCACTGGACCCTTTCCAAGCATCGCTGAAGCTGACTGTGTGCATGTTGTGTCGCCGGAGTTTCTCTCAGATTGAAAGCAGAGCAAGCACTTCGACCAGCACCAGGTAAGAGATTACTATTTTGGCCCAGTAGAGATACTAGAAGTAGAGATACTAGGATTTAGGCTTCTCAACGTAATCCACTGGTTGCCGCCGACCTAGCAGTCTCAACATCACTTCGCTGTGTCCACGTTTCACTGCGTCAAGCAGAAATGGAGAGCAGTAAACAGCGGCCATGGGCACCAGAGCGGAAGAGACCAGTTCTGCATGTTCCCCGGCAGCACTGTGCCCTAAGATTCACTACAACCAGCGCTGCATCTTGGCCTTAGGTCATACCGTACTACACCTGTGTCCTGTAAGGGGATCTAGGATCTATAGGTAGCACCAGCAGAAGAGCAGTTGTGCAGTTAAACGATGTGTAAAGATGTCTCAAGGAGTTTATCAAAAGTCCCAGAGACTAAAGAGAACTACTGAACCACTGCAGCGACCACGTACGACCTCTCGAATGGTTCTGCTTAGAGCAAGATACTAGGGATGGACGTTTCCCTACAGTAGACTGCTTGCCAGCAAATGACTCCGAACTGAGTCCTTGCATTTTGACTTGCAGCACGGAAGGATAACTGAAGTGAGCTCATGTTAGTCCAAGGTTTTTGGTGCTATTATGCTGATGAGCTGGGCAAGAACACTGCTTGGTCACTAGATGATTTTTGTGCCGTTGTTCTTTCAGTGGGGCTTGTTGGAGGCGGTCAGGGCCTCTTAGTCCTCTTACATGTTTCAGATAGATTAACAATGATTAACAGGTAGAGACACAATATGAACACATTCAAATTATACTTGCTCTTTCCGTAGCCACATAGAAGGATCTAACAGTTGAGCCTACCATGGAGATGAAGTGGTCTTGACCAGATTCGCATATCTTTGCTGGAAACCAGAAGATAGAAGCAAAATGAAGCACAAGGGTTCATTTCAATTTCCAGGTTGTGGTAATTGCTGTGATTGATTGTTGACACGCAGCTGGTGAACACCAACATATCTGGTAAATGGATCTCAATCCCCTCAAAGATGGTCCTTGAGGTCTTGACCATTCTTGACCCATAATATGCATGTCATGCGATCAAATTGCATACTTGCATATAACTGCATCGTAATCTTCAGTGATATTTGATATTCTATGATTTTCCATGATATATGATGATATATGTATATGCATGTATATGATTGTATACGTATATAATTGTATATATATATTTAATGTATATATAAATATTACATATATTTAACACATATACAGTATATATATAGGTTATAGATAGGCTATAATCCCTTCACTCCCCCTTTCAGCAAGACAGCTCAGGTGACTCGTGTTTTGCCACCGTGGTCTTGGCCAGAAGGTCAGCATGGAGTTGAATTCGGAAACACACACAGCCAGACAGCCGGGAGTTGATGGCTTCTGTTGATGTCACTACCTGATCCGCAGGGGCTAATGAAGTCTAATTCAGACACTCTGGTGATCAAAAAGTGTTGAGAACAATAAAAGAATCAAAAGATAGTTACGTTGTTGACATAGAGACTATATAGACAGCAACATCAACTAAGCGCCGCAGAAATATGCACATTTGCATGCTGTATTTGCGTAGGAGACCATGCCCTTCCACAAGTCTGACCGCCAAAGCTGCGGATACTGATTTAGCCGTTAGCGAGGAACCTGCAAACTGTGGGAGGTGGTGCACTCTTGGATGGTGTATAGATTCTCTGATATGTGACCATGCTTGAAATGGGTTTGGAATGATTCGACATGGTCACGAGACAGGAGCCCAGCAGACTTCAGAAAGGCCCCAAAAGTTTGAGTCTTTGTATGGTTGGTGTCCGATTGTCCTATAAACAAAAGTTGTCGGGGTTTCCAGCAGTCCTTTTCATCCTTTTCCCTTACAGCAGTTCCAAGTTTTAGTCAATCATGTCGCGAAAGTTGGTCTCTGCTTGCCCAATTGCTCAGAAACTCCGAAAGGGGGAACCATATGTGCTCGGAAGCGACTGCTAATCTATTTGGAAAGTTGATATGTGTCTTCAAGGCGCCCCTGACTTGATTGAAGCATGCACAGAAGATGCCGTGTCTACAACATCTCTCAATTTGTTCCATACTTCAAGATCCTGTTCAAGCACCTTGCGCACTTCAAAGGCTTGGGTTCTTGGCGGTGGCATCTACAGTAATTGACTCCACAAGTCAGTGGCCCATGTGTCACTCTTGATTGACCCAACTTGCAGGACTGGGCAGCCGATGAGCCTGAAGATATCGAAGATCTCGCAATCCCAAAGCTCCGAAGGCTGGACAATTCAGATTAGCATTCTGGCCGTGTGTGTTCAGATTTTTCAGATCGTTTTACACGCACTGTTTTTGAATTCACCGATCAAAATGGTAGAGATATGAGCTATGATGAGATGTGTAGAAATGTCATGAAATGTGTAGAAATGTCATGAAATGTGTAGAAATGTCATGAAATGTCATAATGTTATTAATGTTTTAGAGACATGTTCTTTTGGTCCGTTGTTTTGCCCTCGGCAAACCCCAGAGGTCATCACTCAAACTAAAAGGCATTGAGAAGTCTCCAGAGCTGGACATTGATACAGCTTCTCGGACGCAATGGGACCCACCGCTTTTGTGGAAATCTGATTTTGCAAATCATTGCTGCATCTACGATTCGATGATCCAGTTTTTCTTGACCAACCTTTCTTTGCACAAAATCTGCGCAGACCAGTCTTCTCAAATCACTATGTGGCTTTCCCGAAAGAAGTGCAGCCAGGTCACAGCTTTCGTGCAAGAAGAATTGGGAAACACCATCTTTAAGGCATTGGTTGCAGATGTACAGACAGTCAGCGCTTGCGCATCTTCTGCATGAAGAGCCTTTCAAGACCTTTGGGAAAGAGAACGCCTTGGCAGATCTTGGCAGGCTTCAGAACCTGGAGAAGTTTCCGTGGAAGATCCCAAGGCGCAACCAAGGGAGTGCTAACACTACAATACATGGCAATTTAATGCAATTAGGTTGTTCATCAAATCCACCAAAGTTCCAGAATTTCAGCAGCTGCATTGCTAAACTTCCTGCTCCTCTGCCAGTAGTAGCAGTACTTGTCGTCGTCGTCGTTGTCCCAATCACTATCGCTACGACTGTCGTTGTGATCACTGTGATGGTCATGGCCAAGGCATCGCACCTTTGGAACTACCGTAGATCTATATACAGTAGTTGCATTCGGTTTATATAAATTTGTACTTGCCATTGGGGTGTAATTTCCTTAGCTTGTGAGTGACGTTCGCCTGGCAATTCCTGAAGCATTGCATTGCGTGCATGTTCAATTTTCCGCGACTTATTAAGTCAGAAAACTGCAAGTTACTGAAGCCACGCCCGAGGGACACACTGACTTGAAATCGGCAGCTGCAATCCTGCAACGGCAGCTTGACAGCAACGGCTTTGCAATGCTCCGCAGGCTTTCCCGTTTCGTCCGATAGAAAGATTAGAAAGACTCGCTTTCCGCATTTTTCCACGAGATTTCCATAGATTTCCGGTGTTTCCAAGGTGGGCACTCCGGAGAGAGCCGCAAGAGGGTGCCAAAGAGGATCCCACATCTCGGCTTCCGATTCTGTCCATGGAGTTTGTGGTACAAACTCGAGCCTAGAAACGCGGTCAGGAGCTGATAGAAGCTATCAAGTTTGCGCTAAGCCGAGATGTCCCAGAACCACACACTCTTGCATCACTCATGTGGTTCTCTCAGTCTCGACTTGCAAGTCTGCCCTGTACTTCTGCATACTCTTGTCGATCTAAAGCTTTGCAGCATCTCTATTCGTGTTTTTCATGGCACAGTTGCAGGCAGGATTGAGTTTTTTTTGCATTGTGCAGGTGGTCGTGTGGGAGACTGAAGGTGGATGACATTGCACCACTCTTGGCACCAATGCAAGAGTTACTACCAGAGGTCTCGTCGAGATATCTTTGGGCTTGAAGTTTGAGCACATTTAAATGTCGATATCCAGCTGCTTCCACTCTCCCTTTCCATAGCGGCATAGCGAGTTTCTTGGGTAGTCTGCCTAGTCCCAGCATAGCAAAAAACCTTTGCAGCATTTTGGAATCTACATCATATTCTGGTCGCTTCGCGACGACAGCCGCCCGAATTGTTTGCTCAGGGTAGAACGAATGAGCTCTCTCAGAAAGACTAAATCACGCTAAAACATGCTTGTAACATCTTGTAACGTTTGATTTTTAAACTTTTTGAGATCATTATGAACTTTGTGAGACCATTGCAGTGTTTTTTTTGGTCAACTCTAGAATAAAGATATCTTAGATATAGCTGTATAGACTTTACAAAGTTCCACGACGCTCGTAGAAATCCTATTGTGCGCTTTGTTTTTGGTTTATGTTGGGTAGATTTTGTTTTGGGGCAATGTTTAGTGGCTGTCAAATCCATGCTGGCCCATTTTGACTCCATGTAGCCTATTTTAGGACATTACCGCTCGTATATTTTATCACTATTTAATGTTATTTATTACTCTTATCATTACTATGATTACTGTGTATATCTATCCATCTCCTTTAGTATCCTTTAGTTCAGTTATTTTGCAACAGTCCGCTTTTCGAAACCAACTTCCAACGTTTCACAAATTGGAACTCCGTTGAGAACCCTGAGCCAAGTTGTGACAGGTGGCACCTAGCATGAACGCGCAGAACTTGACCACTTTCTGGTGTTCGGTCGCAAAGATCCAGGAACTTGCGGAGGAGGCAGATTTGAGCGATCACAAAGGATCTCAAACGATCTCAAAGGAATTTGTCAAGAATCTGAAGTCAATCGAAATCATTCGAAATCACCCTGTTGTCCTTTGCCAATCAAATTTGTGTCACGAGGTGGATGATATGATTCCGGTTCTTCTTGATGCCATTGAAGAGAAGGCATGGCTGATCTATTCTGATCTCACATTTGATCTCACATTTGATCTCACATTTGATCTCACATCTCAAGTTGTGCAGGCAGATGAGTTGAGACCGAAGTTTCGAAGCTGCAAAATGAAACTTCAGTCTGAAAGCGTTGAAAGCTACATTCCAATCATTCCAGCCATTAGCTGCTTCACTTCAACAGCAATCGCACAGCAGGATCAAGCCTTCCCATCAGGCAAATCAATCATTTGTCAAACTTTCAGCGCACAACATTTCAATGTTTTCTTATGTGAATCTTGAGTGCACATGTCCAACGACCAGTCTTGGCCGAAACTAAGTCAACTAGCTGCGTTTATTTGGGCAGCTGGCATGTCCATCGCTCAGAAGGCAGCAGTGAGTTCGCTAGAGCTTCACGACTTGAAACTGAGCATCATAGGAAGAGCATCAACATGTATTGACAAAGGTTTGAAGATGATGAAAGTACATTGCCAGAGCGGTTGGCTGGTAACGTCACAGAGACAATATTTGCGGAAGACACAGAAAAACGCAAGACAAAATTGAATAAAGATTCGATTATTCCCACACACACACACACTGTCCAGGGTGTACTCTGTACAGAAAATCTTGCACAGATATTGATACCTCTTAGCGCTTTTGAATCTTTCTCTACTGATGAGGTTGGATCTCAAGCAATCAGAGGCACATAAGCGCTGCAGCATGATGCTGCATGATTCATCATGATGCAGCATGGTAGATGCCCATAGTATCCAAATCGCCGAGATGCCGCCGGAGGTCGAACGCATCAAGGCACACTTTGCGGGCCGGCTCTCTCGAGGGGACATGCAGTCGTTGCCATTGAAGGAGAGGCCTCATATTTGAGTTTTCACATGTTTTCACTATTTCCGCCTCTAGACTTTCTATAATTTGAGTGATGCGTTATCATTATGCCTCAGTGTGCAGAATGGATACCTGCAGTAGCATGTTGTTGTGAATGAAAATGGCACATTTTCAGAGTGACAAACAGAGCCACTGCGGGGTGCCATTTTGGCTCAAGTAACCCCTGCAGTGGCGCAATATATTTCCTTTTGTTTTGCTGCCTTGTAGGGGTTCAGGATGTATCCGACGCAACAAGCGGGCATGGCGCTGCGCACCTTGTCGGACATCAAAGCTCACTATGGGCTCCCGGATCGCGTGTGGACCTGCTTCACAGAGCAGGTGGGCGACCCTGGCGACGACCTGAAGTTGCTTGGAGCTCTTCCCCCCCCGGTCATTGGGGCGGCATTGGAGCGAGCTCGCCTTGCCGACGGGAGCCCACTTTCAGCTGTGCAGGCATCACATGTCGGGCTCATCTATGGCCTCACGAGGCGTATCCTGCACACTTTGTCAGGTGGCGACTGGGACAGATGGGTAGACAGCTCCCCCTTCAGCGACAACAACATGCCCCAGCAGACAGTCCCTCAGCCGACTGTCAGCATCGACAGGAAACTCAAGATGACCAACGTGTTGGATCAAGGGGACGACGGGGACTTCGCTGTGGAAGGGGAAGACATGAAGGCGCGCTGGTACCAGAATTACATCCAGACGATGGGTGGGTGGCCGGCGGAAGAAGAAGAACCGTCCATAGAGCAGTTGAGCGCGTTGCACAAAAGAATCAACGTGCAAGACATTGCCCCTTACACCGACTTTGCCATCTACGTTCCCTACGGCCAGAAGGCAGCGAGGGCCTCGAAGTACAGGACACATGTACTGACGGCGAGTGGGTACACAACCAAGGAGCTCCCCGGACCAGCCACGTTTGTCCAGTGGCGGGCATGCTTCAGGGTCCTCCGCACCTCTTTGATCATGCTGGATGCGGTGGGCCTATCAAACTTGCATGCTTACGAGATGTTGGTGGAAAGGCTGACGAGGTTGTATCCCACGGCATGGCACCTGGTCTACTCCGCGGACGAGCTTGCACGGAGTTCGCACTCCAACAGAATCAGGTCAAAGATCATGATGGAGTTGAAGGCAGGGAGACCCATGCCACCCACCTGGGACGCACATCGACCCTGGGACTTTGTGTTCGGCATGTTGGTGCAAGATGCAGAGTTCTGGCAAAGCCAAGTCCACGGACCGGCACTGGTGTGGTTGGCTGCAGGTTCGAAAGGGACACCTCGTACTCCAGCAGAACAGGTGGCAGCAGATTGCCTTCAGGGAGGCATGGATGCAATCATGCCCACATTGGACTCAAGCCGCAACAAAGCTGGAGGAGGACCGCAACATCAGCCAGATTCACCGAGGGGGAGAAAGACGCAGGCAAGAAGGGACGCACGGAAAAGGAAGGCCCAGGCAGACAAAGCCGAACTCGCGCAGTGGAGGTCGGGGAAATCAGACCCAAACAAGAAAGGAATCCCAACGGGGAAACAAAAGTGTTACAGTTGGAACAAGGGGAATTCACCGTGTGGGGATTTGCAGCCTGGGCAGTCCTGCGTTGCAAAAGTAGCAAGGGAACACCGTTGCACTATCTGCGATTCTCCTGGGCATCCTTCTCGTTCCTGCCCCAACAAAAAGAGCGGTTGAAGAAACATGGAGGAGACTCGAATTCAAGGAGATCGAGAACGCCACGAAGGAATATCAAACCCAACAACCCCTCTTCGAGGGCCAAAAACCAGATGGAGTCCAGCCCGAACCCATCCGATCAGGACATGGAGGAGAAAGACTCCTTGGACTTCATCTATGATGCCAAGACGTTGGAAGAATACAAGGCACGGAGGGTGTTTGTGTTTGTGCATCACTTCGCGGGAAAAGAGGACCCGTTGTCGGAGGCGATGAAGGCTCATGCTGAAACCGCAGGTCTTCGACTCAAGATCTTCAGCGTGGAGCGTGACTCTGGCACAGGGGACCTCCTGGAGGACAAACCATTCGAGGACCACCTGCTCTGGGCGAAGAGGGGCCACATCGATGCATATCATGCAGGGTTTCCATGTGGATCCTTTTCCAGACTCAGGTTCCGTAAAGCTCCTGGTATGCCAGGTCCCATCAGGACAAAAAGTGAGCCTTACGGCAAGCGCACCAACACGAAGGCTGAACAAAGGGAATGCGACAGGGGCACCATCATGGCCTCCAGGGCCATTACCATGGCCAAGACGGTGGCTAACAGAAACCGCCCAGGGAAGATCCAGAGCATCGCAACTTTAGAAAACCCCCCGCCATCTGGGGTGGAAGAACACCTCTCAGCATGGGAGCTACCGGAAATGGGGGAGTTCCTCAACGACACGAAGGTCAGCACAACCCAGTTCAACACTTGCTGCTTTGAAGGGGACATCCCATTGGGCCGTAAACACTTCAAACCACAACAATTCTCTGGCAGCATGCTAGGCTTGAAAGAGCTGAAGGGAGAATGCCAATGCGGCGACATCAAAAATCATGAGTTTGTGGTAGGGAAGGAAAAGTCGAAAGCGTCTGGCAGGTACCCAGGTGAACTTTGCGACAAGTACGCCAGACTGGCGATCTCTCAGCTTGACCTCATGGCGAAGGAAGAATTTCTCTCCATCAGGAGGGAGAAATTGCAAAAGGTCATCGACGAGCACAAGAGCAAGTCGGAGAGCGGAGAGTCAAGCTCCACATCAAACTCAACGGAGGGAACCACGACAAGCAGCCGTGACGAAGATCAGGGTGACGAAGGTATGCCCACCAGGGAGGAGATGTCCAACGCCACTCTGACGTCCACCAAGGTGCAAACTTGGGTTGGGAGTGACGGCAAACACGGCATGCTGAAGTCCAGGAACGTCACATCGAAAGAAGACGATCATGGTGAATTTGTTGGAGGTTTACGCAACCCATACAAAGCAGTTCTGAACAACGCGAGCTTGAAGTCGCTGGGCATCAAAATCCGGGCGGCATGGGAGACGTTTGCCAAGCGCCGTCCAGAAGCTCTTCAAGTTGCTGAGACGTATGGCACCGCACACTGTCAGTTCAACGACAAGCTGGTGAGTGAATGGAAGGACAACCTCAAGCGGCTCGTGGGTGCCAACGCTCCGCCCACATTGACCATCAAAGGAAAATACGAGTACAAGTCGCCCTTGAGTGCAGAGATCATCGAAGCATGGGTGGAGCGAGGCGGAGATCGAGAAACAGAGGTGCCAAAGTGGGTGAGGCATGGAGCCCCTTTGGGCATACAAACACCCATTGGCACTTGCGGGATCTTCCCACCTGCTGACACGGAAGATGCCAACATGGTAGCAGAAGCTGAATTGGAAGATGCGACGGCCCAGATGTCAAAGGGAAGCCTCCTCAATTACAAGTCGGTCTTGGACGACATGGAAAACGCCAAAACCGAGCTAGACCGCTACAGAAGCGGGATACCTCAAAGATATCACCAAGAAGGAGGTTGAGGAATCCATGGGCCACGGCACAATCTCCAAACTGGGGCTCATCGTCAAAGAGAAGCCCGAAGGCATCAAGAGGCGCATCATCATTGACCTGCGCCGCTCAGGGGGCAACCAGAAAGCCGTCTTGCCAGAGAAACTGACCCTACCACGGCCAAGGGATGCAGTGGCAACAGTGAGGGACGTCTTCGAGCTTCGTGGACATTGTCAACAGCACGAAGGACCGGTGACTCGTGAGATGGCAGTCATCGACATTCAGGACGCCTTCATGTCCTTGGGGGTAGCAACGGAGGAGCTACCACACACCCTCACACCGTCCTTGGTGGAAAACGAGTACTACTGCTTCTGCGCACTGTTGTTCGGGTACAAGACGGCCCCTCTGTTGTGGTCAAGGACAGCAGCGCTCTTGGCCAGGCTACAACAGTCCCTTCTGGATGGACATGAGGGCCAACACCTGGTGTACTTGGACGACGGGTTATGGTTCCTACAAGGGAGCTTGCGCACCCGCAACATGGTCCTGGCGATGGTATTGACCACAGCAGGAGCACTTGGGTTCAAGGTCTCCTTGAAGAAGGGCATGCGCGCCACTCAGGTGTCGTGGATTGGCATCAGAATGACGCTCACAGACGAAGCGCTCCTGATGGGCCTACCCACCAAGTACATGGACGAATTGGTGGAGATCTTGAAACGATGGCAAGGAGCGGGCATGGCGTCGCTGAAGGAACTACGCCAAGTCTGTGGCAAGGTGGCCTGGCTTGCAGGCATCCTCCCAAAAGCCAGATGGGTAGTGTCAGTGTTCTACAAGGTGCTGCACACACGCCTAGCAGATGTTCGCGACGGACGGGAGGAAGCCAGACGCCAAACGAGGCGTGACACCAGGGACAAATCCAACATGTTCCCGGTGAAACAGTTGGAGCAGGCCAGACTTTGGTTGGTGGCCTACTTGAACTCAGCGATGGAGAACCCCACGAAGAAGTTCAAGCTGGACGTGAAGAAATATCCAGCGGCGTCAGTCATCACGGACGCAAGCCCGGAAGGACTTGGGGCGGTGCTTCTGGTGAACAACAAGATCATCAGGGCACTGAAGTCGCCAGTCTTGCTGAGGGATGCGGAGCAGCTGAAGTTCCCGTTGGGGGAGTCCGCATCGCAGGGCACCGTGGAGGCACTGGCAGTCCTGGTGGCGATCCGTCACTGGAAGAACGAACTGGCCACGTGCAGCGTGACTTTGCACGTGCAATCTGACAGTTTGGTTGCCTTGGCGCTGACACAGCGCATGGCTAGCTCGACCCCAGCGTTGAATTTCATTGGCGCTGAGCTGGCAATCGCGTGCGAGGCTGCGGGCATCGAGGGCTTGAAGGCGACACACATTCCAGGCGCCGCCAACACCACGGCAGATTACTTAAGTCGGCCGTCGAAGCAACGGACGATGGCCCTGCCGCAGGAGTTGGAAGGCGTGCCGTTTCAGACTCCGGCCCCCAGAGGAGACGGCTTTTACGTTTTGCCAACACCTGGCGAAGCGGCCGCACTCTGGGCATCAGATTTGGCCGCCGAAAGCGCGTGGGCCACTCTGCGCTGATATCAGCGGACATTTCTCCAGGAAAAATTGGAGGCCGCACAAGGGTGGCCGCCAAGTGTTGTTTAACTCAGGTAGGAAGGAAAGGTAGTAACTTAATTTGTCAGGGATGAAATTTTCGTTGCATGATCGGCATTTTCATGATTCAAAATTTTTGCATTCATTTCATGTTCATGCAGCAAGGGCTCAATGACAGGGATTGTGGTTTACACTCGCCCAGGGCTCCCAGCTCTCTGGGCAGGGGGTCTTCAACTTCCATGGAGCAACATACTCCTGGCAATGGGCCTCATAATAGCGGGGGCCGCTCTCTGTTGCAGATGCTGGTGCAACCACGGCAAGGCCAACGGCATGAAGGACCCACCACACCTGGACGAGAGCCTACCGCCCTTATGCAGTTCATTGGCAGAACGACCGACAATGTCGCGGTTATCAAACCAAGGTGCGGTCAATTTGGCGACATTCGTGACAAGGAGGCCATGCAGATGGGCAGATCACCAACTGAGGGGACGGGATTGCTTCCTAATCCTGGACTAGTTCCACAGGAGGAGAAAGAGGAGGAAGAAGTAGCCTTGGAGGACTTTGACTCACCTCGAGGCAGTGCAGAAAACTTCGTCGACTCTCCCTCTTCAAAGCTTAAGGATGATGGAAAAGGAGACACCTCCATGGCGTCAAACATGCAGTTGGACCAAGACGACCGCGGCAGAAGCAGGTCACCCACAAATTTCAAGCGAGCAATCTTCGCTGGAGTGTCAAGTTTTCTCAACCCCTCCAACAGCCATCCTTGGTGGAAGTCCCTGCTTTCCTCTCCAGCACGAAGGCTTGCAGAAGAGCAACATCTAGGCGAACCGCTACGTGAAGGCAACATGGTGGCGCTTAAACTACCGAAAGCAGTGGCTCCAGGAACCGCAGAAAGCACAGAAGAGCCACACACTGCTGGGGGCGTCAAGCGCAAAACCAAAAAGACTCCCGGGCGCCGCAAAGACCTCCCGAAGACGCGCGCAACTGCTAACAACATGACGAAACCATCCCTACGCAAAGCCATATCCGTCATGAAGTCGAAGAAGGCCATGCAGTCGGCGATGAAAGGGGTCGAAAACGACTATTTTGCAAACTCAAGTAAGGTAGCCAGGGGAGCCAAAAGGCATGCAGTGAAGACCATCCTGGAAACAGCTTTTCCAGCAGCCATGCCATTGACGCCGGGGAAGCTGCAAGCGCTCGCAGGTGCACTCAGAACGTCGGGGTACAAGTCTGCTCACACCTATCTGGTCGAGGCAAAGATTTTCCACGTGGAGAAGGGATGGGATTGGACGAACCTATTGGACAGGCATTTCAAGTTGTGTGTCAAAGCTGTCAGAAGGGGCCTGGGGCCAGCCAAGAAAGCTCCTGAGGTCCCAGCTGAGCAATGGAAAGCGCAACCTTTGTTGCCGGACGCTTCAAAAGGGAAAAGCAAGGTGAAACTGGCAGCACACCTCTTCGCTTGCGGAGTACATTGGATGATGAGGGAAATCGAAATAGCAGCCTTAACATCGAAGAACGTCATCTTCGAAGATAAGAACCGGCTGGTCACCTTGGTCTGGTATGAATCCAAAGGGGATCAAGAAGGTGCAACAATTTCAAGGACGCTCCAGTGTCTCTGCCAAGAAGCGTGCGACATGTCTTGTCCATACTCGGTCTTGGAGGTGCTCGTCAACCATGCGTGTCTTCAAGGTAACAAAGGTGCAGCCCTATCAGTCTGCAGAGACGGAAGCAGAGCCACGAAAGCACAACTGGTGGGTGACTGGCGGGACCTTTTCGGATCCAGCATCACTGGTCACTCCACCAGGAGGTCGGGCGCTTTGCAATACATCAGAGATGGATGGTCAGTTAGCCAGGTGGCCTTTTTAGGCCGTTGGAAGAGCAACGTCATCCTGGAGTACGCGAAGGAGGCCTTACAGTCCATCCCCCTGAATGCGGACAAAGCACTATTCGGGGCTTCCGAACTCCATCAAACGGGCCAAGAGGCGAGCGACAAGCAGTCGTGCAAGCCCATCCCATCACAATCAAACCTTGAATTGATTGGCAAGCTACGAACAGAAATTGACTCCTTCATGAACGGCACGAAGGTTGACACAATCGAGCTGACAAAGAAGGTGAAGCAGCTCGAGGCGCGTTTTGACAACTATACGAAGTTTTTGCCATCTTTTGTGGTATCACACCGCGCTCATGTCGTGCATCGGAACAACAAAATCTTCCTGTGCTCCCCGTCCTACATGTGGAAGACAGCCTGCGGTTGGAACTACTACAGTTCTGATTACGAGTTCACGGATGACCTGGGCACGAAGGTTACATGTCAAAAATGTATGACCATGACATCCGCGCTCCAGCAGAGAGGAAAGGTGGCAGATGTCTTGGACAGCTGACAAAGCTGTCTAAGGCATGAAGTTTCAATGCACAAGGATGCAGCCAGACTCCAGCTGCTTCACCGACCAAAAAGGAAGGAACTGCGAGTTGCTGGGGTGGGTCGGTTGGACCTACTCGTCACGACAGTGGCGCATTGTCGTGAATGAAAATGGCACATTTTCAGAGTGACAAACAGAGCCACTGCGGGGTGCCATTTTGGCTCAAGTAACCCCTGCAGTGGCGCAATGTATTTCCTTTTGTCCACACCCACCCGCCCATTTAGGGTGAGGAAAGGTGGCAGATGTCTTGGACAGCTGACAAAGCTGTCTAAGGCATGAAGTTTCAATGCACAAGGATGCAGCCAGACTCCAGCTGCTTCACCGACCAAAAAGGAAGGAACTGCGAGTTGCTGGGGTGGGTCGGTTGGACCTACTCGTCACGACAGTGGCGCATTGTCCTGCAGTTCTTTGACAATCAAAAAGAAGGACATCGCCAACTTTGCTTTTGGTCTTGCACAATTGGACTTCAGGCCAGGTTGGCACGCACTCAAACTGATTTTTAATCTTTTCAAGCAGTGTTGAGCTTGACTGATCCTTACCATGTGTTTCCCTGGCATCCATCCTCATTCTTCGACACGCTCCTTGCGTATTGCTAGAGACCAGATGTCAAGTCCTCCCATTGAACAGATGTCCAGGGATTCAGTGATGCTGGAAACAATCGCTGCAACGACTACTGAAATGGCGGAAGCCTGCAAAAGCAAGCCTGCCATGCAAGACTTGCCAATGACTCTTGGCTGGCATGGTTCCAAGACGGAAGAGAGCAAACATACATCTACATATGTGCACACACATATAATTATAATTAATTATATACATATATATATGATATATGTATATGCCAAGGTACAGACAAAGTACGCATACTTGTACATCACAAAGTAATTCTGCATATAATGAAGTGCACATATTTACATCCGTACATACAAAGCTTGCCGCTCCAGAGGCATTCACTGACTTGAAGTCATTGCTTTGCATGATTGGCTAAGGATCGTCATGTCGCTGACCCGGCTTGGCCACAAGGAGACTGCTGAGACTTCTGCCGCAGCATGATGTTTTGCCCTTGATCCTGAGCTGATTCTACAGCTTCCAGTAGTACAGCGACGTCAATAACAATGTACTCCTAAAAGCAAACAGTATCATCCCCAAAGGATCAATGGTTGAAAAGAATCTGCTTGTCTTTCCCAATTTTCCTACATTTGGAATGTATGATTATATATCGGTCGCAGACTTGGCATTTTTTGTGGTCTAGCATCTCTCACATTTCTTTTGAACGATTTTGTCTCACAGGCAAAAGAGGAAGTCGTTGACGTAGTGTTTTTGGACCTTATTGTGGAAAAATTGCCAAACCTCCTCATGTTTTAAAATAAGATGTTTTGCGAAAACCAAACCAAAGGTTGGTCAAAATCATTTGGCCAAGCGTACCCCTCCCAACAAGTTCAAGCCCCAAACTGAAAGTGAAGCTCCCTGCGGTCCTGATAGAGGTCAGAAATTGAGGGGTGAGGTTTCTGGTTTAGATGCGGTCATGAATGACTGGCCCTGGGTCAAGATGGTCTAACATGGTTTGACTGGGCAGGAGAGAAGCATGAACAAGCTCTTAGACGCTGTTGCGAGTAGGCTACAGCATGCATCTCAGGTCAGACCAAGAATACAAAATTAGACAGCGGTACGGTCTGGTACCGCGTGGTGTGGCTGCAAAGTGAAACAACATGGTACGAAGCGAAAGAAAGTGAAGCGTGAAGCAAAGAACCTCTGTGCGGATCAGTGTGAAGAGCCCCGTCTTGCCATTTAAACTTTGGGAGGGGTTCCCAATTCAAGGCGAAAACGCGTGCTCAAAAAGATGCCAGCCTGGAGTTTGGCGGTGCTATACTGGGCTTGGCCAAATGATGGGCTTGAGGGCGCAACTTGGATTTTGACTGGGGAATACGGTATACTTGAAGAGTGCAAGCTTG